CCCAGATACCACTGGATCGTTCTTTGAAGAGGGTAGATAGAATTGAATCCAGCAAGGAACCAGAACCTCAGGCGTCAGTGAAGTTGCAGCTCGCCCTCCGTCTCCTGTTGCTGACGATCCTTCAGCTCTGCTCTGTCCCACCTCCTGTCCCTCCTCCAGTCAGTAACTCTTTTTTTTTTTTTTAAACATCTTTATTGGGGTATAATTGCTTTACAATGGTGTGTTAGTTTCTGCTTTATAACAAACTGAATCAGTTATACATATATCCCCATATCTCTTCCCTCTTGCGTCTCCCTCCCTCCCACCCTCCCTATCCCACCCCTCCAGGCGGTCACAAAGCACCGAGCTGATATCCCTGTGCTATGCGGCTGCTTCCCACTAGCTATCTGTTTTACGTTTGGTAGTGTATATATGTCCATGCCACTCTCTCGCTTTGTCACAGCTTACCCTTCCCCCTCCCCGTGTCCTCAAGTCCATTCTCTAGTAGGACTGTGTCTTTATTCCCATCTTGCCCCTAGGTTCTTCACCCCCATTTTTTTTTTTAAGATTCCATATATATGTGTTAGCATACGGTATTTGTCTTTCTCTTTCTGACTTACTTCACTCTGTATGACAGACTCTAGGTCTATCCACCTCATCACAAATAGCTCAATTTCGTTTCTTTTTATGGCTGAGTAATATTCCATTGTATATATGTGCCATATCTTCTTTATCCATTCATCCGATGATGGCCACTTAGGTTGTTTCCATCTCCGGGCTATTGTGAATAGAGCTGCAATGAACATTTTGGTACATGACTGTTTTTGAATTATGGTTTTCTCAGGGTATATGCCCAGTAGTGGGATTGCTGGGTCATATGGTAGTTCTATTTGTAGTTTTTTAAGAAACCTCCATACTGTTCTCCATAGTGGCTGTACCAATTCACATTCCCACCAGCAGTGCAAGAGGGTTCCCTTTTCTCCACACCCTCTCCAGCATTTATTGTTTGTAGATTTTTTGATGATGGCCATTCTGACTGGTGTGAGATGATATCTCATTGTAGTTTTGATTTGCATTTCTCTAATGATTACAGTCAGTAACTCTTCTTGCCTGTTCACTTGATGCCAACCCCTGTGTGCCAGCTGTTGTACTGTACCACTGTACTTTTCAAGGTACTGTACTGTAAGATTAAAAATGTTTTCTTTATTTTTTGTGTGTTTTTTTATGTATTATCTGTGTGAAAAGTATTGTAAACCTATCACAGTACAGTACTATACAGCCGACTGTGTTAGTTGGGTACCTAGGCTAATCTGTTGGACTTACAAACAAATTGGACTTACGAACGTGCTCTCGGAACGGAACTCTCGTATGTAGGAGACTCACCACATCTATTCTTTTTCAGATTCTTTTCCCATATAGGTTATTCTTAATAAATTATTGTTTTATTTTTAAAAGCAATTAGCTACTTAATTTCCTTTGTGGTGCAGAAACAGAAGTTGAAATTTCAGTGGTTGGTTTTTCCAATTGAATTGTTCCCGGTGCATCTTACCCGTCCTGAGGTTTGCTTTCTCAGAACTGCAAACCTGAGTCGGTCGTGGCCGTCAGGATCCCGCCATCCCCACCCGCCGCTGCTGGGTCTCAGGCCTTCAGTGGGAACCTGCCTTGTCCCCAGGTCCTTGGTCCATCCGAGGGCACCCCAGAGGCAGGCACAGGTGGCTGTGAGCTTTTCAGGAGAGGGTCCCATTAGCCCAAGGCAGGCTGACCCTGTAAGGTAGATGCTGCTGACAGATTCCCCATTTTACAGACGAGAAGGGTGAGACACAGAGAGGCTAGGCCACTAAGCCAAGTTCCCACGGCTAGTTGGTGACGAGGCCGGATTGCAGCAGGTCTGATTCTAGAACATCTCCCCTGAAGCCCCACCTGGCCCAAGGGGGTCATGAGTAATGCTTCACCTTCCATCACTGGGGTCACAGAGCTGGGCCGGGCTGGCACTGCCTATCTGCGCTCTGAGTTCTCCCCCATCCTGGCAGGACCCAGATCCACCCGTGTGTTCCCTGGAAGTTTTACCCCAGATACATATGTGCCCTTGGTATTGATCTCCTGGCTGAACTCTGAGTCAGTGGGGCGGAGGCCTCGGCCAGCTTGCAGGGGAGGCGCTTCTGCATCCCGCCTTCACAGGATGGTCGAGCATCCGACCTGCGGGCCTCAGCCTGCTCCCTGGCGTGTTTCGGCCCAGGCCTGTCACGCTGAAGGCTGAGATGGAAAACCCTCGTTTGCTTCCAGAATGAGCCCCAGCACCGCCCAGGAGCTGACTGCAGGGCCAGTGGGCACAATGCAAAATGCTCCTTCTGGAGCTGCCGGCTTTAGAGGCACAGTGGGGACAGCTTCCTTTGTGCGTGTGTATTCGTTACAGATACTGTCACCTGGAGCTCCAGACATGCTCCCAGTGTGAGATTGCAGGGGTGTGTGGTGGCTTGCTTGTCTCTCTGTCTGTCTTGGGGCCTGTTTCGCCTGTGGTCAGCAGGCCCTGGTGAGTTGGGGGAGGTAGCTGGACAGTGCTACCGTGAGCAGCGTGGGCAGTGCAGGATTCGAGGTCCTGTCCTGGAGCCTGTGTCCTTCTGTGTCTGTCCCTGTCACAGGCCTGCAGCCCGGACCCAGCTTCCCCTCCTGGCCCTCCCCCAGCCGGCTCTGGGGATCTGAACTCCGGGGACGTGGCCATATGACAAAGCACATCTTAGATTTTAATACTCGGACTATATATAGACCTTCGGGGGCATGGCCTTGGAGCAACAGAGAAGTGAGGGAGAGAGTTTAAAGAAAAGTGCAGTAGGGCTGAAAAGAAGATTTTAAAAGCTGGTGCTATGGATGATTTGGGCAGGAAAAGACTTGGAGAGAGAGATGGGAAACACACTTCAACCTAATTTAAGTTTCCTAGGGAAAATAATGTTCATTGTAGTCACAGATAAGTTCACTTAGAAACTTAGGAAAGAAGGAAAATTAGGGTAGTTGATTTGGGTGGTTGTATGCACGCACTGCTGTAGCATACATTATATATGTATGTAATTATATATAATTAGCATATATATAAGGAATTGTATGAATTCATTGCTTTTTTAAATTTGCTTTTCTTCTGTGTTAATGCATTTGTTCTTACAAAGTGTTTACCTGTAGACCAGAGACATCTTCTCTGCTGAAATTAAATTTTATTTTTATATACTTAGTCACGACAGCTGTATTTGCATATTTAATTGGTTTTAGAGAAGTAGAGCTGTCATTGAGTGAAACATCAATTCCAGAAAAGACAGGGGTGGATTTCTTTAAAGATAAATGTGAGCTGTAAGCAGGCCCCTCAGTCCTGACCCAGCCCGGGTTGGGGGGCTGGCAGAGAGGCGGCAGGAGCAGCGGGGGCAGGGACCCTGCCCTGCTGAAGGGCTCTGTCCTCCGGGCTGGTCCTGCCTCCCCTCCGGCTGAGTGAGCCCTAAGTCGGCTGGGACGGTCCTTGTGGGAACGTGCCCACCCCTGTGGGACGTCATCCCAGCAACTCGCTGCCCTGCCAGACTCCGCACTGTGGAAATAAACGTTCAAAGTCTGCACTTGATCAAAAACACAAGAAAAAGGATGGAGAGAGAGACAGACAGACAGAGAGCTGTGGCCAGTTCTTTAAGACCAGCTGACACTGAGGCCACAGAAAGCTCCAGCTCCAAACTCGCAAGTGACAGCATGGGTTGCAGGGATCAAGGTTGCTGAGCGACTTGGCAGACAGGCCTGAGTTCAGAGAACACACGTGCTCAGGCTGAGTGTCCCGCCTGTTAGTTCACTGCCATGGCAAAGAATGAGCAGGGATTTTTCTGGAGTGTTGGTCTGAGCCTTGTGTTGTCGTTGGGTTGTCATCACCTCCACCTCGGGCGGGGGCGCCAGAGTGGGAGTGGGGGGCGATTGCATCAGGCCCGGCCAGGGACCTGATTGGTCTGCCCCCCGTGGCTTGATTCACGAGCTAGAGGACCGAGCCCAAGGCAGCCTCATAGCCGCTTCCCTGCTGCCCAGAGACAGCCTGCCCGCCGGAGCTCCGTCCCCACCATCGGTGCCCGGAGAGGGGTCCCTGCCTGCCAGGGACAGTGGGAGAAGGCCGGGACACACTCCCCTTCAGGGACAGTCTCGATTTAAAATGCCATCTCATTCCTCTGACTGCTTTTTCCATGCCGTTGAGGTAAGATTTCTTAAAGCATCTCACGTTTCCCCTAAAGGCGGCACCCCGTCAGCTTTGCAGCTGGCGCAGGGTAGGTTTTTGGTCCTCTGGATTTCTGCTTGGCCACCCCCTTGCCTGGGAGCTGTCGGTAGGTCATGGCTTTGAACAACACTGGGAAAACTAAGCTGGCTTGTAATTTTGTAGGGGGTGGGGCCAGAGGGTTTTGTGACTGCTCTTACTATGCCCTTCTTTTTAGTATTTTCAATTTCAGCATATTCACCTTCTCATCTTCTCCCTACACCTCAATGAGCACAAGGTGAGTGGCGGTGACAGGAGGAGGCATTGGGTGTTGTCTGCTGCACTGAGGACCCTAGAAACGGAGAACAGCTGGAGTCGCAGAAAGTTAGGATTTCTGCGGGCCTTCTGTTGCTGTTTGTTCTCACAATGGGTTCAAGTGTAAAATGTCCAATTCCAAGACCGCCAGCAGTATTTTGAAGGAATTCTGTCGCTTCCCAAGACAAGGTGGTAGAGAAGTAGCTCACACACTCTGGTTTGGCCATGTGTCCCTGAGGTGTCTTGGGCGGTGTAAGAGCCTGTGTTGTGATCCCACGGTGCCCTGCACATCCACCGGTGGGGGGGCGGGGGGAGAAGGGAAGGGGAGTGTCGATGGGCGTGGCCTGCAGACCCGCAGCCTCTGGTCACCTGCTGCCTGGAAGAACAATTATACATGTGTTGGAGCGCTGCTGTCTATACATTTCCTGTTTATTTTGTTTCAGTGTTTATTTCTGAAAACCCAAGGTTGTTCATCTGTAAGTGTCACCGCCTTGTGTTGCAGGATGTTAAAGTCTTTAGCGAAGACGGGACGAGCAAAGTGGTGGAGATACTGGCGGACACGACAGCCAGGGACCTGTGCCAGTTGCTGGTTTACAGAAGTCACTGTGTGGACGACAACAGCTGGACGCTGGTGGAGCACCACCCGCACCTGGGATTAGGTAGGGAGCAGCTCCGGGTTGCAGGGAGCAGCTCCGGGTGGGGGACAGCAGTGGGGCACTCGGTGGGCCTTCAGGTGAAGACCTCTGCTGCCAGATGCCAGACTGTCACTGCAGTGTCCCCTGCCAGCCAGCATAGCAGGCGGTCTGTGTGTTGTCCTCCATGCTCCTGCCTCTTTTTCCTAAAATCTCACCTTCCTCCCTCCCAGGCCTCTCTCCCCTGGTGCTTTCAGAATCTCGCTCTTGCACAGTTTGAAGCAGTAACTCCCAAGAGCTCAGCCACAGGAGGAGGGAAGGGTCCCTGTGACTTGTCCGCAGGAGCCGCTGTGAGGGGCTCAGGGGCTCGCCGCACACCTGTGGTCTGAGTGTGCAGCCGGAGGCGCCCTGGGGAGATTCTGGCATCACTGCAGAGAGCAGCTCTCTACCTGACGGGGTCGGGGAGCCATGGTGACAGCCTGTAGGAGGGCACGGGGAGGCCCCCGGGAGTCGAGGGGTGCCATAAAGCAATGTCACCTAAGCTTGAGTCTCACACAGTGTCTCTGAGTGATTTGAGAGAGCAAGAGATTATTTTGAAATAGGTACTATTTACAGAACTTATTGAGGTCTTTGGTTTGTTTGTTTGGCTTAGGCTGCTTATTTTCAGGTAAAGAAGCTTTTCAGACTTTCGTTTAAATTCTTTCTGGATAATGTACGGTGCTTCCAAATCATAGGCACGTATTTAAAACTAGAATTTTTTCTAAATCAACAGCTCTATTTTCTTCTGTGTCTTGAAGGAGAGAAAAACTACACAGCTTGCAAACTTCTTCCCATAGTTTAACATTTTTCTCTTGACCTTTAAGAATGACAAAGAAATTGAAATTAAGCCTCTGGGTCTGGAATATTCTTTCACTAAATGGCATTTGGGCAACTCCTATTGTACAGTCTAAGGTTACATGACACGAGGTACATTTGAGTTGGTGTTGCTGGAAGTCACGTGTTCTGGCTCCCCTGTGCTATCAGACAGTGTGCGTTTTAAAGAAAACGCTAAGAACTCCACCTTCTTTCTTTCCCATCACTACGGATCTGCAGTGCACTTGTGTGTCATCAGATGCTTTGTCCTTTGTCCCCAGCAGCTTTCTCCTGACAGGTACATTCAGTGGTGCCACAGCACAGCGACCAGCTGGCAAGCTCCAGTTTGGGGCATCCATGAATGGTCCCGAGTGGTCTGATAGGGTTACCAAAAGCATCTGGTGACACACAAGTAATTTGGAAATTAAACCAGTCGTCGGAACCCTGCAGTTTTTATGTACACACATGCACACACATGTATATACAGATGCATATACACATGCATGCATACATGTGTATATATACCTATATACATGCATACACACACACACATAGAGAATTACAGTAAGTCCCCTACATACAAACCTTCAAGTTGCGAACTTTCAAAGATGCAAACGTGCATTCTATCAACATCAGGCGTGAGTGAAGTTGCAGCTCGCCCTCCGTCTCCTGTTGCTGACGACCCTTCAGCTCTACCATCTCCCACCTCCTCTCCCTCCTCCAGTCAGTAACTCTTCTGCCTGTTCACTCGATGCCAGCCCCTGTGTGCCAGCCGTTGTACTGTACCACTGTACTTTTCAAGGTACTGTGCTATAAGATTAAAAATGTTTTCTTTATTTTTTGTGTTTGTTTGTTTTTATGTATTATTTGTGTGAAAAGTATTATAAACCTATCACAGTATAGTACTATACAGCCGACTCTGTTAGTTGGGTACCTAGGCTAATTTTTTGGACTCATGAACAAACTGGACTTAAAAACACACTCTCGGAACAGAACTCGTTTGTATGTAGGGGACTTACTATAATTTTAAAAATGCATCTGCATAGTTGGAGCCAAATATAATTAATGAATATTGTTGAAAGACCATTCAAAAGTCTGACTATGCTTTTAATTTGAAAAGAACTATGAAAAAACTTCTGTAGACGTTATAATACATGAATATCACTGTACACACCTAGAGAACATATGGAATGGATGCAGATACACAGAACATTGTCACATAGGGACTGCTTAAGATATTCTGATTCCATTGTTTCTTGTGGTAGCACTTGATTTCTGCAGCATCGTATAGTAGACGATAAACTTGGGAAATGATCAATCACATGAAGAAAATTTATTCTGAGGGAGTAAAAAACAAAATGCACATGCACACACTACTCTGAGGGATGTGACATCCATATGTTTTATTCTGTATTCTTTCTCTTATTCACAGATGGATTGACATACTCCCCTTTAGGGCACAATAGTTTATTATAAAACCAAGTAAAAAGGGAAGAAAAGAAAAAAAGGAGAGGGGCAAGTAAAATGATGAAACAAATAAAAAAGAACATTTGGATCAAATTTTAGATCCTGTTTGACAAAAAGAAATCAGTGAGCTGAATTGCAGATGCATAAAGCCCCCTTAGAGGATTCTTCCTCATTTCTCCCATGAACTCCTTTCTCATGAGCAGCGAGTGGACACGTTGTCCTGATGCTTGGGTTCTGCAGAGGATTTTGCAGGTGTTAGTTCCACCAAGTTAGTCACGCCCTCCTGCAAGGGCAGGGCCCAGGGAAACCTCCCCCTGTTCACAAAGAGCTTATTGCATCCCCGGCCCTGTGTCTTCCCTGCCTGTTCTTTTGTTTGTGATCCAAGCCTATTATTTAATATTGTTTTTGATCCGTTAAGTTGTTATTTAGGTGAAAATCCTCTTCCTTCCATTATCCACCAGCATTTAATGGTCAGATGCCCAGTAGTGGGAAGAGGAAGGTCCAGTTCCCTGTTTCATGCCTCCCGTGGGGCAGGGCCGTGGGAGTGCCTTTCACAGCTCCCTGTGGTGTTTCAGCATAAACCCCCTTGGGTGGGGTGTGCTGCGTCCTCTGTGATTGACAGTGTCCTGGGTGTGTTCCTGGGTCCCCTGGCACACGAGTCCGCCGCCCGCATTCTCAGGGCAGAGCCACCAGCCTACCTCCCCAGTCACTGATTCTCCCTTTATCTTTTTTTTTTTTTTTTTTTTGCGATACGCGGGCCTCTCACTGTTGTGGCCTCTCCCGCCATGGAGCACAGGCTCCGGACGCACTGGCTCAGCGGCCATGGCTCACGGGCCCAGCAGCTCCGTGGCATGTGGGATCTTCCCGGACCGGGGCACGAACCCGTGTCCCCTGCATCGGCAGGCGGACTCTCAACCACTGCGCCACCAGGGAAGCCCTGATTCTCCCTTTAGAAGGTCACTTTCTCATGGGGTGTACGTCGGGGATGCTCCTGGGACTTGCACATACACGAGGCTGGCGGCTCAGGCCAAAGGGAGATGATGCTTACAGATCCCTAAGGCCAGTGGTTCCACCAGTCCCCAGTAATGGAGGGGTGAGCAGGCCACTCTTACAGCACTGAGTTGATGTATAGCCTTAGAAATTGAGGATTTCCAAGCACAATTACGATGCCGATCTTTGCAGCTAAGATATCATATCCTTAACAGTATTAAACCTTTTCGTGCTCAGAAATGAGCGATGATTTAGGAGACATGGGGCAGTTTCCAGGATGGCCATTCGAGGCAGCTTCCTTTCCACTAGCAGGAGACCATGTGCGTGTGTGAGGTCCGCAGCCCCCGAGGGTACCCGCGGGGCCAGAGCATCAGGCTCACGGAGGGGCAGGAACCGCGGCAGCTGCCGGCGCGGGCAGCATCTCTTGCTGGAAGGACCCTCTCTGCCATCTCTCTGAACTGGGCTTGTTGCCAGAGCCAGGTCCAAGGGCCCTTCCTGGTCCCCAATGTGGGCTCCTGCACCACTTGCCGGTTTGAAGATTTGGGGCAGAGCCCTGAGCGCATAGTGGTCTTAGGTGACCGTGTCCTGTGTTTCCTGATTTCCCGGGAGCTCATACCTTTCCTGATCTCTCCAACCATTACTGGCGCCAAAAGTCCAGCCTGGATGGGATGTTTCGGCTCCAGTATTTTGGGTAGAGCTCAGACGTGGAACCACTGGTCCCCAGCCAGTGCCACCGGACAGCCCCCGAGTCCAGCCAACAGGGGCTGGGATGGGGCCGTTGCCTTGGGAAGCGTTGCCCTCCTGTCTGCAGGTGAGCAGCCAGGCTCACTTCAGCCAGGACACCTTAATAGGTAGAGGACGTAGGGATGTCACACAGCCAGCCTGCAGCTGTATCAAGTACACAAACTATATTTTAAAGGAATCTCGAAAAACAGGAACTTTGGCATGAAAAATAGCATCTTGGTGTCCCCCGTGAACTAGAAAATGGGCCCACCTGTAAACTCCATCCCCCTGGGAGTGCAGGGGCTCCCACAGGCGTGCCCTGAGTGACCACGGGCGTCAGAGTGGATCAGTGGGAGAGGCTGGGACTTAATTTTAAGCCTGGGGCACCGTCACCGAGGAGGGTCACAGCCGGGTCCTGTGCATCTCAAGCATTTGGGGGGTTCTGTTGTCGTGTGAATCAGGACTAAACACGTCAGGAAGAAGCAGGAACCCTTCCTCGGGCTGTTTGCTGCTCTGGGTTTGTTCCTGGTCAGATGAGAAGGGCGTGACGGCCGCCCTGTGGCGTGACCGGCACATCCAGATGCTGACATTTGCACAGATGGGCCGGGGAGAAGCGGCCGCCTTGCCTTCAGCCTTGGGGGTCAGAGCGGCTGATCCTTTTCTATCTCTGTCTCTGTTACCTCTGAAAGGCACCAAATGACACCCTTTCCCCACTAAAATACACACCTAGCAGGAACGCTGCTTATGGGGCAGATCCAGACATCAGGATGTTTGCTGTGGGCGTGTTATGCTCCGCACAGCCCGGGAAGCCCTGGGCAGCTGTTCAGCGCTCCCGTCTCTGTGACGTGGGCTGCGCTGGGCGGTGAGGGGCTTCAGGGGGCGGTGAGGTGGGATGCTGACGCCTCCCAGTGCCCTCGGCCGGGCGCTGGGTCTGCCAGCCCTACCTCACCCCTCGGGACCGCCCAGGTTTCTGCTGAGGATTCTTGTGTCTGCTGCACGGCCCCAGAAGTAAGGTACGCTGCTTTTTTTAGTTGAAATGTAGTTGATTTACAGTGTTGTGTTAATCTCTGCTGTACAGCAGAGCGACTCAGTTATACACGTATATACATCATTTTTTATATTCTTTTCTGTTATGGTCTATCATAGGCTACTGAATATAGTTCCATGTGCTGTACAGTAAGACCTTGTTGTTTATCCATCCTGTATATGCTAGTTTGCATCTACTAACTAACCCCAAACTCCTGATCCTTCCCTCTCTCTCCCCCACTCCCTCTTTGGCACCACAAGTCTGATCTCTGTGAGTCTGTTTCTGTTTCATAGATAGGTTCATTTGTGCCATATTTTAGATTCCACATATAAGCGATATTATATGGTATTTCACTCAGTATGATAATCTCGCAACCAGGTACATTATTTTATTCTTTTTTATGGCTGCCTAGTATTCCATTGTATGTATATTTGTGTACCACATCTTCTTTATCCATTCCTCTGTTGATGGACATTTAGGTTGCTTCCATGTCTTGGCTATTGTGAATAGTGCGGCTGTGAACATAGGGGTGCATGTATCTTTTTGAATTAGAGTTTTGTACAGGTATATGCCCAGGAGTAGGATGGCCATCATTGAAAAGTCTACAAAATATGCTTTTTTTTTTGAGTTGTCTGAGTTTTAAATGTCTTTCGTGTGGAGTATGGCGGCGGCATAGATGCTGGCCTTAGTTCCGGAAATCAGAAAACTACAAATACCCTTTGAGAAATGTCTTCCACTTCCATTTGTACAAAAAGTCCTTTTGGATGAAAAGTCACATGGCAGTTTTACTTAAGGCCATTGTGATCGTATGACATTTGTAGCTGGTGATGTGAGCGTTTAATACTATTGCCTGAGGTCATCTGAAAATATGTGTCTTTAAAATCATAGAGAAAATCAGAACTGGACAAAAAGAGCTTTGAACTGAGGTTGTCCCAGTGGCCTTTTACAAGCTGTGAGCACAGGTCCCGGGCCTTCAGTGGGAGGTCAGGCCTACAGCTCTGGCATCTCTGAGGAGCTCAGTCCTGGTCCCACCACTGGCCGCAGAGGGTGCAGCGGCCTTGGTTTCCACCTGTAGGTCTCCCAGGCCTCGTGGGGTCAGCGGAGTGGCCTGGGGCAGAGAAGCACCTCCTGTCGGGACCGCTGACAGTCTATTCACGCTGCTGTATGCGGCTCTACCAGGGTAGCTAGGCCTGGGAAGAGAGGAGCCTGCCTGGGATGCAGCATCCTGGGGCCCCATCGAGCCGGTGGCTCCCGCTGGGAGGGCCCTGTGCCCCTGAAACTCGACATCAGCCTTGTCGTCACTTAGGTCCACCCCGCGCTTTTCTTTCTCCTTATTTTACCTGGTAAAAAATTTTAATTCTGTAAACCAACCATCAGCAGGTTATTGGGTCATAGTTGTTTTTTTCCCCATAACCACAGACATGTTTTCTCTGAACAAAAATCTCAAGGAAAGTCATGGGTTTGTCTTAAATGAATGACATTGTGCTAACCCCTATCTTGGCAGCAGACATAGCCGTTGTAACCGTGCTCAGGCTGCCCTGGTTCTTCCCCTCTGTCCTGGGGGCATCATCAGGCAGGGTGTGCGGTTCCTGAATTGCTTGCCAGTTCCCGCATCATCTGGGGACCAGTGGGCCTGTCTGTGGCTCACTGGTGGTGCCAGGTCTGGCCCTTCCTGAGGTGCCTGAGCTTTCTGTTCATCATGGGGAGGAAATTCAGGCTTTAACTATGTCTCTACCGAGGACAGCCTGTCCTCACATGCTCTGTGTGCCAGCGGGGCCTGGCTCAGACCACTGGCTTGGTGACCGTGTCCTACGTGGACAGGAGTTCTCCCACGTTCTGAGATGGCTTTGACTCAGGAACGCTTTCACCCTACACCTCATCCTTCCTGGAAGACAGGACTCTGGGGATTCCGCGCTGGCTGTGTGGAAGGAAGCGGGAGCTGGGAAGGGCCGATGGAGCGTTCGTGTCAATTTCATGGCATCTCCTGCTCCACCCTTTGGGCCTCAGTTCACACGTCGAAACTGCCCTGGGCTCGTTTGCTCCTGTCGCGTATCCCGTTATTGAACGTGGTTGGTTCCCTGCTGCCCGGTCAGCAGGCTGTGCAGGGACACGTGAGGGCGTCAGGCAACGTGCCTCTCATGTTCCGCATGGAGCCAGAGTGTCAGACTGTGAGGGAAACGCCTCTCCAGGGTGATGCCGCTGCTGAGTCAGGCACCGAAGTGTGTGTGTCCGTGCACGCTCCCCCGAGTGCTCTGTCACGTGTGTGTCCTTCCCAGCGGCACAGTCCCGCTGTGAGAACAGCTCCGGGGTGTGCATGATTAGCGTGGGCTCCAGCGGACAGCTGGGCGTGGGGACGGGCTGCCTGCTGGTAGTGCGCTCCCTCCCGTGTTACGCCCTAACACCCTCCTAGGCAGCTGAGTTTCACGAAATCAAAGGCGTCCTGCTTCTGCCCCCCACCGCCCACCCACCCGCCCATGCGTCCTCCTTGCTCAGAGCCTTCCCACTGTTCTGTGTCTTGGGACATTTTCCCAGTCATTAGAGGCCCTGTTCTTTCCAAGAGTTGACACTTCTTAATTTAAAGGCAGAATCATCTGCGCAGAGCCTTTTGCTGATGCTAAATTGAGAAGAAGTATATGAAAGTTAGGACTGACCTGAGTTCTTCATACTCTGTGTCCTAAGACCTCCTATGTGTTTGAGATAACGCATTAGAGGTTTCGATTTACTTTTGGTTCTTGACCTCGTCTTTGCTCACGATGTTTGAAGAGGAACAGAAAAGTTAAGCAGATTTTGTAATAGGTTGTGAGGCTGCCTTGAAGTTTCTGCCTGTTTATCTCTCACAGTACTTTTCCTCTGCAGAAAGGTGCTTGGAAGACCATGAGCTGGTGGTCCAGGTAGAGAGCACCATGGCAAGTGAAAGTCAATTTTTATTCAGGAAGAATTATGCAAAATACGAGTTTTTCAAAAATCCCACGGTGAGTCTTTTCTCTTTGAGTCTGGGGTTTGGAACTCTTGAAATCTTGCAGTTTATACTTGAGTTTCATAGTAGCAGGTCACAAAATAACTGAGATGTAGAGGGTGGCAGTTGGGTTTGAGAATCTGAGTTCCTAGTTAACTAAGCAATCCTGGCTTGAAACTTTCTCTCTGGTGCTTAACTAAATGCCTCTGTTCTGACCGGAGCTGACCATCACCTTCTCCCAATAGCTAGAGTGGGAGAGGGGCTTAGTCTCTCTAAATGGAGAGAGAGAGGTGGGCTTCTTCAGTTATTTTGAAAGTTATTCAATTATTCAGTTATTTCAAAAGTTCTTAGTTCAGTTGGAGTAACTTAGTCAAATACTCAGCAAAATAGAAACTCATTATTCTCTGCAACTAGCAAGTATTACTTTGGGATTATTGGGGGAAGAATCAGTAGAGAAATCAAAATCCAGGTGGGTTGAGCTCTCCTTGATTTTTCTTTTATTTTCTATTTTTTGTGGGGCGGGGCCCTTGCCTTGTGGGATGTCAGGATGGAGCTCGTACCTGCCGTGGTGTGAGCGCCAGTCCTAATTCTGAGGTACGGCAGCAGCAACTGCGGGGGAGGTCCCAGCATCAACTTCTGCTTCTGATAGTTTAGCTGCTTTTTTATTGAAAGGAAGAAATTTGGTAACTACTTTTGGGTGATGCGCCAGAAAAGGCCTCTTCACATCTCTGTGCACATCTCTAGTTTCGGGGGTTCTTTATCTTGTGCCACGCGTCTGTGTCCCTGAGTCAGGACACGCGGCGGCCCTCTGCCTTGGTGCACTGCCAGACGTGGGTCATAGGGCATCACAGACACTCCAAACTTGGTGCAGCGTTGAAGGGAAAATGCAGCCTTTTGAAGTCAGTGTTTCCATTGTGTGATAAAGGAACAAAAAGCACTGTCATTTTAAATACAAATTGTGCAAAATTTTACCCGGAGGAAAGTTTTCAGTACTGGCATACCTGTAAGTATGCTTTTCCCCACTCTTAAGCTAACCTCTGACATCTTTGTTTTTCCATGGCCTAGAATTTCTTCCCAGAACAGATGGTTACCTGGTGCCAGCAGTCAAACGGCAGTCAGACCCAGCTTTTGCAGGTACTGGGCAAGAAGAGGCTTCTGCTGGAGTCTCTGCGTAGAAGCTCTCAGGCTGTCCTGGGGGCCTGGTAGAAACTTGGAGTGGTTGCGTTGTTACTCATGTACGAGCCTTGGCCCCTCGTGGAATTTAGAGTAGCCAGAAATAAGTGTTTCCCTGGGAAAGCTGCATGTAGCCAGGCTCCTTCAAAGCAAAACAAGCACTTAGAAACAGGATACACTGACTTAGAGGCCATCAGGTGCCTCTCCACGCTTACTGCTGCCTCATGCTCTCCCGGGAAGTCGGGATATTCCTCTGCACCCCCTAAAGACGTGTCTCTTAACAGCACATTAAGTAGTAAGGGAATAAACCATTCACTAAGGCAGCCAGCACTCTCCAGGTGGCACTGAATATAAGAGAAAGTACTAGAATGTAGTTCCTACAGAATTCTGCCCTGAGCCCTCCTTTTCCTCCTTTGTTTCTGCCTCTGGAAGCTGAAAGCCTCTGTGCTGTGTCCTGGGCCCTCCAAGCAGGGCATCTGTCTGCCCTGGGTGAGAGTTGTCATACTAAGTTATCATGGCCTGTGCACAAGGAGAGTAAAGTGGTTTCCTGCTTTTTAGTTGCCTGATCCAAGACGGCTTGATGCTTGGTGAGCGTGCACGGTGATGTCTTGAGGTGCCAGAAGCACTGCCCGGGGGCACCAGGACCTTCCCAGTTGGCCTATACCGTCTGCAGGAGGAACTGTGTCCCTCTCAGTGTAGGGGACCCATGAGGGTCACCCCAGATCTGGTTCCTGACCTCTCTTCCCTGAAGAAAGAGGTGTGGCTGGTAGGAGGACTTAGCAGGGGAGCAGGCTGTAACCAGGGTGTTCATTCCAAGAGTTGGACAGACACTGGATACACAGCTTTCCCTGGAGGGCACGCGGTCAAAGTGATGGCCGGATGCTTGCTTCCAGCCCACCTGCTCGTAATCCGTGCTCCTGGCACTTCTGTTGCCCCAGCTCTGAGGATCAGACTGGGATTCTTATGGGAAACCGGAATAAAAGGCAGGATGCTTAAACACACTGTCCATTAGGAGATTTATGACTTTGTGTTTTCTGTCAGAGTTAGAGAAGTCCATTTGCTTGTGTATGTTTAAACACATAATTATGTTTTAGGCAACCCCAGTTTAGATGGGAATTTTAAGACGTTTGAAAGGAAAAATATCACTTGAAAACACTCAGTTTAACCCCAAAACAGTATTTTACTAATTCGTAAAATGTTCCGTTGTCAGCGATGCTGATAATATGTCTGCTTCCGTATTTTCATGTCAGCATTATCTGACTTTTAAAATTTGCTCTTCAACAGAATTTTTTAAACTCCAGTAGTTGTCCTGAGATTCAAGGGTTTTTGCACGTGAAGGAGCTGGGAAGGAAGTCGTGGAAGAAGCTGTACGTGTGTTTGCGGCGATCCGGCCTCTATTGCTCCACAAAGGGAGCTTCAAAGGTGAGTTTTAAAGCCGTGACCGCTGGTCGCACCAGGCTGGGAGGGTTCCGAGTAAACATGGGCTTCGTTTTAAATTGCACCCTGGGCTCCACCCAGCTCGTGACTTATTAAGCTGATTGTGTAGCAGCTAAACTCAGATTTCCTGGTGCACAGCCTCACCTGGGAAACCAGGTGATGACACAGACCTAGGGATCCCGGGGCTGTGTCACTCCCCCACCCCCAAGCTGGCCAGCCCGGGCCCCTTCTGTGGGCTGGGAGCAGAGCCTCCTGCCTGCCTGAGTCCCTTGAAAGATGCTAACTTAGTTTCTATAACTTGGAAGTTGGCATCCAAGCTAGCCACAGGATATTTTATTGATTATTGCCACCCTAATGGCAACCTAATACATGTTATTGTAGGTATTGCGTGGAATAAATTGCGGTTTTGTGCGCGTCCCCAGTGGGAAGAGGAGGCGAGGGGTGGAAGATGGCTGCCCGACTCCGAGGACAGTTGGGGTGTTGCGGGCTGGCCTTGCCAGGGTCTCCTTTGGTGTCTTTGCACCTCTGACCTGCTCTTTCCTGTAACGTCCGAGGAAGCCTGCCGTGGGAACGTACCCAGCTGACCTTGGCCTTTCTTTTACACCCGTGAGCTGCGGTCTCTTCTGTTCTCGAAGGAAAGCCGGGGGGAGCTGGGGACCCCAGGGGAAGTGCTGACCCAGCATCAGGCCACAACCCTGCTGCTCTGGGAGGTCAGGAGAGCAGCGGGTGGCCTTCGGAGAGGGGGCGTGGCCTCTGGGGAGAAGGGCCCTGGTCACCAGGGAGGGGCGTGGCCGCAGGAGAGAAGGGGCGTGGCCGGCCGCCCTTCCCTCTGCAGATGGGGTCTTCATCAGATGCAGTGGAGTGGGTAACTTCCTGATTTCCCAGCTCTGATGTGTGGCTTATGCATCATCGTCATCGGTGCTGAGCCCAGGGACACGTGTAGCCTAGAGCAGGCAACGGACGCGGGATGGGGAGTTCAGGAGGAGGTGGGGCGGTTGTGGATGCAGCTGGACTCTGACCACGCAGCATAGCAAAGGTGCTGTGGGTCCTGCATTTGAGGGTGTGCTCAGAACCTTGACTTTAGCTTCCAGATCTTCTGGTTTTCACTTTATGGGGCTTTGCTTTGGCAGAGTGTCAAATAACATTGTAACCATTTTCTGTCTGAGAAGTGGGCGGGTGGGTGTTTTTGGGCGGGGGCTGCGGGATGTGGTTTTAATTTAGCACTTACTCTACACGATGGGTATAATCTGTAGACTCAGAGGGGAGAGGTGTTGAGAGCACGCACAGACTGCGCTCTGTTGACGGGGGCGTGAAACACTGGCTCTTGGCTGTGCTGAGAAGTTCTCCCCCGTTAAGTCTGACCACCTTCCTGCAGGAGCCCAGACACTTGCAGCTGCTGGCCGACCTGGAGGACAGCCGCATCTTCTCCCTGGTGGCCGGCAGGAAGCAGTACGGTGCCCCCACGGACTACGGCTTCTGCATAAAGGTACCCCATCCGCAGGCCTTCCGAGATGCCCAGACAGCATCCCAGTGGGCACTTTGGAATTAAACCAGGGACCTCCTTTCTTGGTGCTGTTTTTTGTTTGTTTGTTTGTTTTTAACAGAAACGTAGTTTCACGCTAGATTTATTCATTCATATAAAAATATTTCTTGTGTGCTTATGACGTGTCCGTCCTTGAGTAGCTCAGATGCTCAGAGAAAAGCAGAGTCCGTGATGGACAATGCCTGTCGACGGGCCCAGTGGCTTAGGGACCGCCAGCCTGTCACTGGGTGGCCTCCAGCGTACTGAGTGAGCTGACACCTTCTGTGTGGACTTGTCATCCCCAGGACATTAGACTAGGGGTGACCACAGCTCTGCCCTCTCTCTGTGCACGTGCATGAGGACACAAACACACATACGCTCCCATGTGCACTCGTGCATGTGCATATACACACCTGCACACACCTATGTGAACAAACACATGCACACATGTAGACATACGTGTGCGTGCCTGTGTGTGCGTGTGCGCACACACACACACTTTGGGGGGGGGCCCGCTCCTCCGCCCTCGGCGAAGCTGTGGTTTTGCTGGTCATCGCACTAGTAGATATTTACTGAATACCCACTGTGCACGAGAGCCTCTACTGAGGCTTCTACCTCCGTCGTCTTCCTGGGTCTTCGCAGATGCTCACAGGGTGGGAACTGACCCGGCCCCGTTGCCCACATCGGGTAGCCAGTGAGCGAGCCCGAGTCCCCCAGCCAGGCTGCCTTTGGAGCCTGCGGAGGAGACAGGGCACAAGGAGCCCGTCCCATCCGAAAATGCCGTCTTCTGCTTCACTTGGTGAAGCTTCTTTGGTTACAAGTAATACGAACTGACTTCAAACCAGCTAAAGCCGCAGGTGCACGGGAGGCTGGTGGGAAGTGGCCTCGGGAGGGGCTGGAGCCGTCAGGGCCCAGGTGGCCAGTGCTTCCTTCCCCCGGCCCACGTGCCGGGTGTCGCGGCCTCTGCTTCACCTGCAGCGTCAGCGGACTCGGGCTGTCGTTCCAGCCCCGCTCCCCCTCCAGATTCCCGAGGTGGAGAGCTGGGCCAGTGTCCCCCCCGCAGTACTGACCCCCGGGCCTGCGGTCAGAGGGTTCCTGTGGACACCCGCCAAGCTTATGCCTGCAGGCTTTCCTCCGTCGCAGCCTGGCCCTGCCTCTGGGTGGGACCACCTGCCTCCGCTGCTTGCCCTGCTCCGGTTCCCTGCTCTGGGGCGACATTGGTCTCACCCCCTGGGCCTTTCCACAGGTCCGTCCTTGGGGCCACTCAGACGCCCCAGAAGCCGTGAGCCCCGGGGGCTTCTCTCCACGCCGGCTCACCCAGCAGGCCCTTCCCCACGGGTGCATCCTTGGTCTTCCTGGGAGGCAACTGAAGACGCCTCCTTCTGAGACCCCAGAGCAGGTCCCCCTCCCAGGAATCAGCATTCTCTTCAGGGAGCTAGATGCCCCGTCAGCCGCCCCCGCCTTGCGGTTTCTTTCCTGTTTGTCTTCCCCAGTACCTCCCATGGGAGGACAGCTGACCACTCAGCTAAGTACTAAGTGGCCGCAGCCGCTCGGGGCCGGTCCGTGCCCGGCAGAGCATGAGTGATGCTCGGCACGTCCTGCCGTGTGTGGGCTTAGCCCTGCCTGGCAGGAGGTGTGTGTCCGATTCCCTGTGACGCTCACAGGGTCTTCCTTCGTCTCCTTTAGCCAAACAGAGTCAGGAACGAGGCCAAGGAGCTGCGGTTGCTGTGTGCCGAGGACGAGCAGAGCCGGACGTGCTGGATGACGGCCTTCAGGCTCCTCAAGGTGGGTCCCCTGCGGTCACAGCGTGCGTCAGCACACCCCTCTCCATGGACAGTGCCTGTCACCCTCCCACGTTCCGTCACCAGCTCCAGGAATCAAGGGTCCTCACACATTTTTTCAGAGTCTCAGAAGCTCCCCACAGAGGCTTAACGTTAGAGGAACCAGAGCCAGTTCCCAGCCTCGGCGCTGTTGGCTTTGGGGGCCAGGCAATGGGCCGTCCTGTGCTTTGCAGGACATTTAGCAGCCCCCTGGTCTCTCCCCGAGATGCCAGTAGCACCCCAAGCAGCTGAGACAACCCCAAATGTCTCCAGATGTTACCAAGTGTACCCTGGGTATGGGGCGGGGGTTGAGAACCAATGGGAAGAAAAAGGTCAAGACCGGGGAGTCGGGTCAGGGAGGGTGCACGTAGGTCGTCAGGAGGTTAATGGTTTTCCTGACGGAGCGTCAGACTCCCGAATTCTCAAAATGCCAAGGCCATGAGGGAAACATAACGAATCATATGGCTCACCGTAGAGTCTCAAGGGAAATGGTGTCTCCTGACATTAATTCTAAAAAATGTCTTGCACGGACCCTCACGTGGGATCACACCCGACAGTGATTTCACAGAAATCGCCAAGATGACTTCACACACCCTTTAGTACAAGCTCAGTGCACAGCAGGCGCATCTCACTTGGATGTCCCACAAAATGTTCCTTTGTACATACACACACCACGTATCTGGAATTCCTTAGGTACATAAAGTCCTCGTGAGTTACAGGTTAGTTGACAAGACGAACTTGGCCAAAGTCAAGGGGCTTGTGGGGGAAGTGTGTTTGCTCAGCTGTGGCCACCACATGCAGTGGTCTGGGTGTCTCTTTACAAAAGTCCCCAACCCTCAGTGAGGGTCCAGCTGGTCCAAGATTCTCAGCAGAGTCACTTAGATCAAGAGACAGTGGGAGGCTGAGCTCGGAATACTCCTTGGAGATGCCACGGGCTCCCTGGAGAGGCAACCCGTGTTCCTCTCTCCCAGAATCTTCCTTTGTATTTTTTGTCTTGTCACTGGTAAAACAAAAAAGGTGTACACGGGTCTTTCCTGGTGGTGCAGTGGTTAAGAATCCGCCTGCCCATGCAGGGGACATGGGTTCGAGCCCTGGTCCCGGAAGATCCCACATGCCGCGGAGCAGCTAAGCCCATGCACCACAACTGCTGAGCCTGTGCTCTAGAGCCCGTGAGCCACAACTACTGAGCCCACGAGCCACAACTACTGAAGCCCGTGTGCCTAGAGCCTGTGCTCCACAACAAGAGAAGCCACCACAATGAGAAGCACATGCACCGCAATGACACTTGCCGCAACTAGAGAAAAGCCCACGCAAATCAACAAAGACCCAACACAGCCAAATTAATTAATTTTTTAAAAATGGTGTACATTTAAATGTTACTGCTCTGTAATAGAAGAAGAAATGCCCTGTTGCTGTAAGATACCGTATGTCGTCGGCTGCGCCCTGACAAGCTGGTGTTAAATCCAAGTGTCTCTCAACGGGCCTAGTTCCCTGGCTTACGGGACGTGCACACAGAGGAGCCCCCTGCGGCTGGAAAGGAACAGCTCCTCTCTGGGTCCCGTTGTGGGAAATTTTCCAGGATGTATTATTAGCAATTAACAAGCAAAGTGCAGAATGTTGTATAAAGAGGTCACTGCATTGGTGGGGAGAGAATGGAAATGCGTGTTTAGATTCACTGGCATGTACGTAAACATGATACTGCAGGGGAACACAGAGGCCGCTCACGGGAGCCTGGAGGCTGCGGTGTAGATGGGGCAGACGTGGAGGGAGACCTTCAAGGTTTTATACATTTGTGTGCTTTCTTTTCGTTTTTTCTTTTGCTCTGCAAAAATATTATCTATTTTGGAAAAAACAAAAAGGAGATGAAAAAGGAACTGGTACTAATGCGTCATGTTCTGTGGGTGACACATGGCGATGTGGCAGCACCTCTGATGCCTTCTCACAAGGGCGGAGGGCGGGGGCCTCTGGCGTCATCGTAATGTGACTAGGTGACCGGATGCTGGAAGGAAGCAGGCCGAGCTCACAGTGGCAGTGATGCCTGGCTATTATTAGTGCTAACGATGCGTGCCCCGTATATATTGACACAATGTGATGGACGTTTTGGAGCATCCGCTGTGGGCCAGGCAGTGCCTCACATCTCTGACCTCATTTGCTACTCACGGCAGTTCTGTACATACACGTACGACTGGTGCAGGTGACAGTCCTGAAGCCCATGGCGCTGTGCTCCACGTGGCCACTGGCATGTGGCAGAGTCAGCCCTAGGACCTCGATGTTTTGGCCCCAGAACTCCATCGCTAACCAGCACTCTTGCTGCCCCCCCGAGAGCCTCCGGGAAAGCTGACGATCCATCTAGTTCCAGCCATGGCCCCGTTGTCCCGGCCACCTTGCCCTGAGTGAGAAGCTGACTGCACATCCCACAGCGCCATCCTGTATGAGGGCGGGGCCTGGCTGGCCACGCCCTGGGGCCTCCTGCCTCTACCAAGTGGCCAGCACCAGCATCTGAAATGAGGGACCCTTACAAACATCTAGGTCTCCTCCCTCCCTGACCCCCCAGCTGCCCCTGGCTCCAGTCACTTTGCTCTGGGGGGAAGCGTAATTAGAAGACCAGCTTCTGTGTGATGGCCCCTGCCCTGCACCCACATGTTGCCTCCAGAACGGCGTGTGCTTTGCTCCAGGGACTTAACGCCCTTTGAAGCAGTGGGGAACCTTCTCAAAAGCCTCCTGTTTCCCTGGCTCTGCTGCGTCGTGAGCTTCTTGGATTGTGAGCGCTGGCTCAGTGCGCAGTCTGTCTCTCCTCCTCCACGGGGAGACCCGTCTGCAGGCTGCAGGGACCTGGCCGCCTCTCCGCACCTCCCAGTTCTTGCCCTCTATGTGTTCTCGTGCCTGGGCGTCAACCTCAGATCCCCAGAGCTGGGACGGCCTAGCGCTCCGAACAGAAGAGACGCTCAGAAAATTTGAGTTGAATGAAAGTGGCAACCGACCCAAACTCTGGCCTCTCCCGTTGCAGAGCACAGGCTCCAGATGCGCAGGCTCAGCGGCCATGGCTCACTTGGCCCAGCCGCTCCGCGGCACGTGGGATCTTCCCGGACCAGGGCACAAACCCGCGTCACCTGCATCGGCAGGCGGACTCTCAACCACTGCGCCACCAGGGAAGCCCCTCCCCCCTCTTTTGAAACCGTTTCTCCCCCTTGCCTGCCGGATGTCTTGGGCAGCGCCGGAGTCAGCCCAAGACGGCGCCCCTGCCAGGTTGGCAGAGTTGGCAGAGGGGGGCTTTGGACTAGGCACCTGCACCATGTCCAGAGGCCGGTTCTTTGGCCTCTGAGGGGGGTCTTGCTGCCGCAGACCAAGGAAACGTTGGGTTGCCTCTTTTCGTGGTTGATGTGAAGATCTTGTCTGTAGTGAGTGATGACAGGTCCCTCCCCAAGCTTTAACCCTCTGACACCCTTGCCCCCTAATAGTGGGTCGGATGTGCCATGTCCCTGTGTGGAGGATGCACATCGGAGACCTCGGGGCCTGAAGATGAAGCGTAAAGCTCTGCCCTCCCACTGTCTCCAGCCCTGGCCAGAAAGCAGGTCCGTGGTGTCTGATATTGGGCAATTTGGACGATATTGAAATCCCAGGGCTTTTTTGAGAGGAAGGCCTTCTTTTGAATTAACCTAGACCTCCCTGTGCCTTGAAGTACCAACACTGGTATACTTTCTTTAAAAAAAAATTATAGCTCGAGCCTCCAGAGGAGAAAACTGGCTAATACCTGCCTTTGTTCCTCTACCTGCTGTTCCACTGTTTCCTAAATGATTTCCTAAAGACTACAGGGACAGCACAAGGAGTACGAAGACGGTGTTAGTCACCTATCGGCTCCTTCCCACCCCCTCCACTTTCTAGATGTTTCTTAAGCTGCCCTAGAGATTCTTCCCCAAGAGCGAGGTCTTGCTTCATCAATACAGGTTTCTGTAGGGAACTCCCTGGTGGTCCAGTGGTTAGAACTCAGCGCTTTCACTGCCGGGGCCCTGGTTCAGTTCCTGGTTGAGGAACTAAGATCCTGCAAGCCGCCCAAGCGCAGCCCAAAAGAATAAATAAAATTTTTTAAAAAGTCTAAACCTCGTCTTCCCTGGTGGCGCAGTGGTTGGGAGTCCGCCTGCCGATGCAGGGGACATGGGTTAGTGGCCCGGTCCGGGAGGTTCCCACGTGCCGCGGAGCGGCTGGGCCCGTGAGCCATGGCCGTTGAGCCTGTGCGTCCGGAGCCTGTGCTCCACAATGGGAGAGGCCAC